GTTTTTGGAGTTTGCAACAAAATAATGTGTTAAAATTATAATTAAATAATGTAGATAACACCGTAAGTTATATCTTATTTACTATTTAGATAAAGTCATTTTTAACTTTTGTATAGATAAAAAAATTTAAAAAACTTGAAATTAATGTTAAATGGAAAGATTTTTAAAAATAAAAAAAATAATAAGCTAAAATCAAATAAAAGATTTTTTTTGAAAAAAGAAAACAATAAATAAAACGCATCTAGAAAAGATGAAAGAGAGGAAGGAAAAATTCAATCGTTTAGAAATTGGAAAAAAAAAATCACCAGAAGCAAGACGTTTTGCTCGAGTTTCAAGTTTAGACATGTCCTAAGCAGTTTAGACATGTCCTAAGCGAGATTTTTAGAACACTTGTTATAACACATTTTAAAATTATAACAAAAAGTAATCCATTAAGATTTTTTCTCCTTTTTCATAGCACTTTTACCTCATGGTAATCTAACATTAAAAAATAAAAACAGTTTTATAATAATGCTTTAAATAGCTACCAATAATCTATAAACAATAAAATATATGAAGAATGTAACATTTTACTACTTACTTTTTTCGAATTTTTTGGCAGATTCAGAACGTTCGATTTGATTTTCAGAACATTGGTCAAAATACATTTTCAAATAACACTGCTCTGAAAACAAATGAGAATCTTTCTTTTCTATTGCAAAGAAAAAGTCAATTCTTTGAGGACATTACTTTGTTTTCATTTTGGATTTCTCTTTTGTAATATTTTAAATTTTAATCCAAGTATTAAATGGAGGCTAAATTGACAAAAACCGAGGTACTGGGACAACAACTTCCGAACAGAGATAGAATCAGAACGATTCCCGAAATATTTTTTTGAATACTCGTCAATGTCCTCACTATTCATGGAACGCGAGAAGTAGAGAAAATTTAGGTGTCGCCGCGTAAAATGATATGTTCCTAAATAAGAAAAAGTTAAATGCAAATGGGAATTTGTCTTTTTATGAGACAAAACCTAGTGGCTGTCTGTTTGGTTGCACTCCACCATATTACAACCCACTACCCATTCACGTCCCCCTTTGGTGAGATCAACTCACGAGTATTCGATTAAAATCATTAATAATTTTTACAAAGATTCGAACTGTGCTTTCCGGTCGAGGAGCACGTATTCAACGATCACTCCAAAGTCCAAACTGCAAACGTTAAAAACTCGAAAGAAAGAAACAAGTACACAAATTTTTTTTTATATATATATAATTTTTTCTCAACTTTATTTTTCTCATTTTTTAAGGTTGTGATTTACAATTAAGAACTTTAATTAAAGGGGAAAAGACAAGATTAGGGTTAGTGAGGGATGTTGTCATTACATAGTTTGAAACAATTATGGATGGATCAATCAAGAAATATTGTCTACCCACTTGTTAATATACTGTTAAAGTGTAATTATTTATACGTCCTGCACGCGCATATTGATTTATTTTTTATTGAAATTTAACACGAAATTTCTATGAAAAGATAATAGTACAACTTGCACGAAATTTCTATAAATAGATAATAGTGTAACTTGCAATTAAAGTACTTATTTACTTTTGGATCTTACTACATGTATTTCAAGATTTACATAATACCACATGACACTATCATTTGCCAATTACCAGTTTAAAACGCAATCAACTTTTTCATCCAATCTTTTCTCTCCATATCATATTATGTAATCTATTATGCACATTAAAATCCTTTACTCTTTGTACAATATATTAAATCATTTTATTTAAAATGGGACAATATACAATTGACTTGAGCTTCATTAAATATGGACGATGGGTTTCGCATGAAAAAGCTTCAACGAGATGGTTCTATACACAAGCAAAAATGTGATGGGACTGTCAACTTAAATCACGACATTTCAAACTTGGAATCACTCAAAATGCAACACGAGTTCGAGGTGGTAAGAGGTAAACAAAATGAATGTGCGATGTGAGGTGTGGTAATTGAGATGCTCGAGATTCGATGTGTTGTGATTTAAATGAAAGGTCCTACCACGCGTTAATATGGACCGGCATGCCTTGGAGTGAGGACAAGGTACTCCAAAAGCAAATTCTCTTTCGTGGCCTATTGTAACAAGAAATGAATTGGGTGGGCTCTACGAATCTTGATTATCAGTTGAATCATGCTACATAAATATCAAAGTTGACATAAGGTTTGACATAATATCACGTGATATTTTATCATTGAACAATTTAAAACGCAATCAATTTTTTCATCAAATTATCTATTGTCACCTAAAATTATGTCAAATTTTTTGTCAAATTACTTGGCAAAGTAACTTTATCCTTTTATAATACCTTTTTATCATTCTACATTTTCATAAGGGCCAGTTTCCAATTGAAAAGTACCTTATTTCAGAAGCTATTTTAATTCAACAAAATACAACTTTCGAAACTTTGGTCAATAAACCCGGCTCCTTACTTAGACCTAGTAAATTGAATTGACTCACATTTCAAATTTGGATCAGTACTGTGAGTATGAAGATTGTTTTGTAATAAAATCCAGTTTTCAATTGCTTGTTCAAGAATTACAATCTTTAGCCCTGAAACTAAACAATTTCCTTGTACTTACAAAAACTTACACATAAATAAAAAAAAGAATCATAATTGGAATGAATCAAATATTATGTAATCATGGATAGTTGTGAATCGAATTGATTACTCCTCAATAAATAAGTGCTTTGACCCTAAATTTCTGTTTGGTGGAGAGATCATTGGAGATGAGACAAAATCGTATATTTTTCATTACGAAACGAATAGATCAAGAGGAAAAAAAAAAGATTACAAAACCAATAAATCGGCCAAAAAAAAAAAAAAAGATAGTTTACTCCATGAAAGATGTTTGAGTCAATTGAACTAAATTGTGTAAAGTTTATGTACTATTTAACTCACCTTCTAAGTTTTAAAGTGTAATTATTTATACGTCCTTCACGCGCATATTGATTTATTTTTTATTGAAAATTCAACACGAAATTTCTATAAATAGACAATAGTGTAAATTGCACGAAATTTCTACAAATAGATAACGGTGTAACTTGTAATTAAAATACTTTCCTTTTTATACAACTAGTCAACGTTGAACGTGTGTTGAACGTTATTATGAAATACTTTATATGTACTGTAAAAGTAATATTTGAATGTTAATTAAATTAGAATTAATATCAAGAAATATATACGTGACAATATATGATAAATTATTTATTTAATTTCTAATTAAGTAAAACTTGATGTTAATTAGTATACATGGACGTGAATAATGAAATGTATTCTTGAATATGAAATTCTAATTCACTTATAATTAGAATTAATAACATCGAAATGCATAAATGAAGATGCGTATTAATTAAATGAATGTAAATATTAATTAATTGAGAATTAATAATAGTGAATAAGCACACGTGTGAAATGAATCTGTCGAATGTACATGTACATTGATGGTAACTAAATAGATAAATGAAGGGTAACTAAATGGCTAATCCAATGAGTGGCTCGAGATTTGATGTGTTGTGATTTAAATGAAGGGTAATGCCACGTGTGAATATAGTACCGTCTTATCGAAACTTCTCTCGTTGCGCACAAAGATTGGGCTTCGCTAAAATTATGTTTTGGTCAAATCATGGCTAGTGGTATGTATTAAACATTTCATTCTCGAATGATATTGGATTAGCCCAAGTGTAATAAGCAATATTTGAACTTTTTTGTTTTGTCTTCAATAATGCCAAAGACTCAAAATAAATATAATCCACTCTCCCAAAAATTAGGTTTCAACGAAGACTTCATGTTTCTTCATAATTTGAACGCTAGAAAATGAGAAAAAAAAAAAAAAGAATTCACGTGGTTGGAACTTGGATGGTTTAAAACTTTTGGCCCCAATAAATTATTTTGATTTTCCCCCTATTTGCCCTTCTTTCTCTGTACATGCATAAACCGAACCGTGACAAACCACACGATACACCCAAATACGTGCTAGTCGCGTGAGCAAATCGCATGTTGGGAAGCAGATATTAAAAAAAAAAAAAAAAAGGAGAAACCATGCTAACAGCAAGCAATTGGTGATGGGATATTCACAATTATGATATTGGTAGATTGGCCTTTTGACAAAGAGTAATGTTATTCATCCTCAATGGGGTTACAAACATAGTTTAGGTATCTCTAAATGATAGGTTAAATGAAATGTGAAATTAAATGACTTATTTAATTTCACCTATCACTTAATATCATATTAACGCCACCTATACTGTGTTTGTAACCCCAGTGATGATGAATAATATTACTCTTTGACAAATATGACATGGCATGGCATGCCTCGGATTGAGGATAAGTTACTCCAAAAGAAAATTCTCTTTGGTGGCCTATTGTAACAAGAAATCAAACTGGGTGGGCTCTACTAATCTTGATTATAAGTTGAATCATGCTACATGAACATCAAGGTCGACATAAAATTTAACATAATATCACGTAACATTTATCATTTAACAAATTAAAATACAGTCAATTTTTCCATCTAATCATTATTGCCACGTGCAATTATGTCTAGTTTTTTATCAAATCCTTCTGACTAAGTAGCTTTATCCTTATAAGTTAAAAAACTTTTTGGATTAATAGTAGAAAACTCCTTAGAAACGTTTCTATTTGCGATATACCCCAATACCTATTAAAAATCGCAGAAAAGCTCCTATTTAAAACCTTTTGTGTGAAAAAAACTCATACCGTTAGATTTTCCGTTAAAAACAGTAAAAATGTCAAAATTTAAAAGTAATAATTGTAATTTTAGTTTCCAAACTTTTATTCTTTTATAAATTATACCCAAATTTTTTTATGTACCATCCATGATCCCAAACCTTTAAACTTCAACTTCTCATATATTTGTCCAAACCTCTAAATAGACTCTGCCAACAAGTTAGCCGACTCTGCATATTCCTCATCGTCTCCTAACCCTTCATCCTCGTCGTCTGACTACCCTGGATCGTCCCTCATTTCATCCACCAAATTAGACCTATCCAACTGCACCCGCAGATTCATGAACACATACTCCCTTGAATCGATCCCACACCCTAACCCACAATGGTCTCTAGTCCTCATTCTCAACAAAACATCCATTCTCTTGAAAAAAAAAACACCCATTTGCTCGCTTGCCCACTTTCTACTTTGACCTTCTCTTTCTTATACTTGTTCTTCAGCTCATTCAACTGGCTCCTACACTCCATCTCTGTTTTCTCAACTCCACTCATCTCCAACACCTTCTCAGCAACCTCGACCCAATCCTCTGTCCTTAAATTTCTCCTCCCTAACTTCGTATTCCTTTCCCCCCAAACCTCAAAAAACACAAAGCTCTCCTCCTCGCTCCACATTCCCCCTTTGAGGGACAAACTCATAGTTTGAGACGAAAGACTCCAACTTTCTTTTCTTGGGGTGCCTCTTGGATTCCTCATGATTATGCAATTGCCCATTTTCAGCAACATTTTGATATGTCGTCTCTTCATCTTCGTCAAAAGCACTATCTTCAAATTCAATTTCGTTTTGGGTACTGTACGAATGGGGAATAGAGCTTCTCATTAAAACTTTGATCTAGAAATTCAATGGTTTATGTGAGATTTTTTCCTGAATTATAGTAGTGAGGAAGACTTACTTTTCTAATTGAACTATCTTCAAGGTTTGGGATTAATAAGATTAAGTGGAGTGGCGTGAGGGGGAAAATATAGTTTTAGAGGTTTGAGATTGTGGGTGGTATATAAAAAAAAATTGGGTATAATTCGTAAAATAATACAAAGTTTGAATACAAAAAGTGCAATAATTAATTTTTGATTTTGACATTTTTACTTTTTTTTAATGGAAAATTTGATAGTTGGGGGTTTTTTCGCACAAAAGGTGTCAAATAGAGGGATTTTCTACGATTTTCAATAGCTAAATGATATATCGCAAATGAAAACGTTTCTAGAGAATTTCTGCTACTAATCCAAAACTTTTTCATTATTCTACATTTTCATAATGGCCAGCTTCCAATAATTGAAAAACACCTTATTTCAGAAGCTATTTTAATTCAACAAAGTACGACTAGTTGAAAATGCATATTCGAGACTTTGGTCAATAAACCCGGCTCCTTACTAGACCAAGTAAACTGAATTGACACAATCACGAGAATCTCATTTGTCACATGAGTTTTCCTATTAGTTTTGACTCACATATTTCAAATTTGGAACGAATTTGGATCAATATTGTGAGTATGAAGACTGTTTTGTAATAAAACCCAGTTTCGAAGAAGTAATTGATAATGCGGTCATTGAATGAGCAATACCTAATCGTGAGGATGCTTTAGAGTTTAGAATCTTTTCAATTGCTCGTTAGAGAATTACTATATTTAGCTCTGGAACTAAACAATTTCCTTGTACTAAGAAAAACTCGCACATTAATAAAAAGGAATCATAATTGGAATGAATCAATATTATGTAATCATCGATAGCTGTGAATTGAATTGATTACTCCTCAACAAATAAGTGCTTTGACCCCAAAATTCTATTTAGTGGAGAGATCGTTGGAGAGGAGACAAAATCGTATATTTTTCATCACAAAACCAATAAATCGAGAAAAAAAATTACAAAACCAATAAATTGTAAAAAAGAAAGATGGTTTACTCCATGAAAGATGTTTTGAGTCCATTGAACTAAATTGGGTAAAGTTTATGTACTATTTAACGCACCTTCTAATCTTAAAATATTTGAGAATCCTATTTTAGAAATTTCTAGAAAAAGTATATTTTTATTTGAATAATGTTATCTAACACCAGTAGTGTTATAGCACCAATATAGGTGGTCCACGCCAGACAATCAATCTCTATCCATGTTAGCAAGAAAGTCCAACTACAAAAGAGAAGCACAGACTTTTTTTTAATGAGTAATACCATTTATAATTAGTGACTGCAATAATCATCCTTACGAGACAGCTTGTTATTTAAGACATTTAAGTTTTTATTTGAGGCAATAGAATTATAGGAAATTAATGTCTCAAATAACAAGTTACCACATAAGTAGATTACTGTAGTCGTTGACTAGAATAACATTATTCTTTTTTATTGTGCAACTTCGTTGGATACACGTACGTTTATATAATTTTATCCTTAAGTTTTCTCATTTTTAAGGTTGTGTTTAGATTATTTTTTTTGCTATTACTTAAATGTTAATTAATAATTAAGAACTTAAATTAAAGGGCAAATGACAAGATTGGCGAGGGATGTTATCATTATTACTCGATCTTGACGGAGTTTATTGATTTATTTTTATTAAAAATAAATAGAAAACAATGTGTCTTGCAATCAAAATATATATTTTCTTTTTACATCATGCATTAAATCATCTTATCTAAAATTTAATAAAAATATGAATGATTCAAGCTTCATTAAGTATCCGTTCGGGTACAAATTTATGGATGATTTTAGTAAATTTTGATAAATTTTGATGAAATATATGGTAAAAAATTTGCTAAAAGTTATGAATACCATGAAATGTGTAATTAAATTAATTTTTGTTGCGTTTTAAATTTTTATTAATTTTTTAGTTAAATTAAACAGAAGCTTATAAATTCAGTGCTTGTTTGGTAGGGATTTTTGGGGGAATAATTGATTTTCGAATAGTGATATGATCGAAAATGTGTGGTTGAAAAAGAAGAAAAAATTATTGATGTAATAGAAAATATTATTTTATTGAAGAATGTGTGGTTGAAAATGAGAATCAAATAAAAAACAAACACCCCCTTAATATAAGTCAAACAATAATTTTACCAGACATTCATAACTATTAATCAGTATTATTCATATATTTCGTGGAATCCACTATTATTCCTATTTATAAACATTTACAAATTTGCCAAACAGAGGCTAAATGTGGGCAAATGGATGCATACGTCATTTAGGCTTAGTTTTGAAATTATGTTAAGAGACAAAAGTAAATGTATATTCATGGTTAGTATTAGGATTGCAAAAATAAAAATAATAATAATAAAAAAAAAAAATTGTCAAATCGTAAAATCAAACCGACGATTTGGTTTGAAATCTTTGTTTTGGGTTCTCGTGAATGTATATCATACTTAATTTATTTCAATAGCAATATTCAAAATGCTTATATGAACTCAATTAATTATTTCGGGATAAAAATATAGAACCAAGATAAATGAATCTTGGGACCCAGGTTATATATGTCTTTCATTGCATTTCAGTTGTTATTGCTGTTTAGACACTTGGTTGAACCGGTACCTCAACAACACCTGTCCTTCTCGTCTATTCATAGGTGGTGGGATTTCTTGTCATCTCTAGGCACTTCTTTCATTGGCCTATTTCTATGTGGATTGCCCAACTTGTTAAGCATACTCACAAACATCACTAGTTGAGGCTTTTGTTCATACACAGGCGGCCATTTGTACATCTCTTAACGGGGATAGTCTCTCTGTACATCTCCCTTTTGCAAGAGCATTATTCACCTCCTTTTCTTAATGGCGTTGCCTCCTAGGCCTTTGGGTAGGATTGCTAATTTGGGAGAGGAAAATACATATGAGAGGGTAATTACATTTAGGAGTGCATCTACATCCCTCGAAGTTGCATTTTCTTCTACATTAAAGCTTGCATGGTGGCTTGAGATGGATGGTGTTTTGCTCCACATTTTGCTTATGTAGGTGGCAAAGGATCCCACCCTCCTAGATATGCGAAAAATTGTTCTAGTGGGCTTCCTCACATGAAGCCTGCAACGAGTGGCTTCTTCTCTAGCATTACCATTTCGGGCCTCGCGCTAAACCTTATAAGGGTGACTTCCACTCATCCTTTCTTCAATGACATTACATTTTTCAAGGCAAAGTATGAGGCCTCTTTGCAGAGTAGGTAGAATTTTTGGGAGGTTTTTCACTAATGAAATTCAGTTTAAAGTTGGATTTCCACGGATAGTGCCAATTTGTTGACCTCCAATTCTACTTGGAACCCAACATGTTAATAGATGCCGCTTCCACTTCTATTCAAGCATGTGTTACCTACATACTTGGGAATGCATGCGTTAGATGTGCAAGATCGGAACCTCTCCAAACACGAAAGGGAGGGAAAGACCACGACCCTACAAGCTCTAACACTCAAGTAAACCCTAAAGGAAAATTAAAAATATGTTAGGTGTAGGAGTACTGCTTAGTGAGGCAGAATATTGGAGTTTGGTTTATATTGTATCAAGAAATACCAAAGTGTTGATTATATTTGGATGACACTAAGTGTGAGTACGAATAGACGAGAAACTAATGGAGACTTCGTAGATGCTTGAAACCTAGCCGCATCCTAACATATCACCGATCAAGTTCCATTACGTCAAAATGTCATTTCCTAGGCATCAATAGGTCCACGAACCTGCACGCCATCTTAGACAGATAAAAGAATGTGTGCACTCAACTTCTATCACATGTAATGTCACATCAATCACTTCTCGTGTTACTTCGAAAGTCATAACCGTCATTTATTGAAGATGGTCCACCACTACCACATCAATTATGGAGGCCCATATTATGCTGCTAACTATTATGAATCCAAAAATTGCCTAGGAGAAGGAAAGTAATACTCCAAGTTACCTAGACTCGGAGGCTATGTCAACGAGGCATTGAGATGTTTGGTATCGTTTCGGAAGACATATCGTCTATTTTGAAAGACCTTTGGTGACATCATTGCTTAGTTGGCAAGCACGTGGATTGCCATGTAGGTAGAGACATAACACTATTATTGAAGAAACAATACACAATTTTGAGGATGTTCTAGAATTTTTTTTATTGTTCGTTTGAGAACTACAATCTTCAGCTCTGGGAATGAACCATTTCTGTGTATTTGAAATAGTTTCAAAATAATAGGAAAGACGTTTAATCGAAATAAACAAAAAAAAAATTATATTTTGTGATTGGTCATATAAACATCAAACGGTAATTGGATTAAATTCTTGATGCAGCTATGTTTAGGGTCCCGACGCCCACGAGTTCTTATGTTTTGTTTGATTTATTTAATTTATTTTAATTAGTAGTTAGTGTTAGTTTGGTCTTTTAGTCATTTTAGGGCTATAGAGTTTTAAGTTTATTTAGACATCTTGTTTTTCTTATGATTTGGTCTGTTGTTTTCTGAATTAATACACAATTTTGAAATTGATTTTTCCCTAATTTATCTTATAAATAGGGAGTCGTTATTAAGATTTTTAATTACTGTCTTAAAAGAGATGTTAGACAAAATATTATATGAGATTTTTTCTTATAAACTTCTTTTTATCATAGTAAATTACTAATGTGACAGAAGATAACGTAGTTTAATATTGAGGCAAACCTCTACAAATTTATCGTGTTCTTGTATTTTTTTTCTCTGGGGATTGATCGATTTATCTCAATAATCTCAATAAGTTGGAGAGGTGATGAAACTCTACATTTACAACCTATAAACTGAAAAAAGATGGATAGCTCTATGGAAAAAATTTTGGGCCTATAAAACTAATGTATCATTTATGCATTTAACACATAATTTACTATAAAATATTTGATAATCCTATTCGCACTTGTTTAGAAAATTTTAAAATTAAAATCAAAGTCAACAATTAATTTTAATCATATTCATAATTACTATCTACTTTTTCTTCGTCCATTTCACGAATTCACTACTCATTTTTCAAAATCAGCTTTTTAACTTTCCCTTTAGAAAATTGTAGATCAGACCCGTTTGATTCTCATTATTGTAGAATGTGAATGAAAAATATAGTCGTTATTGAGCTCCACATAAGAGATAGAAATTCAAAATTGATGGTTTGATGTGATGGATAACAATCATATTTTTCATTTTTATGGATGAAAAATGAGAATAAAATGAGACCCAAATAAAAAATTCTAACCATGGTTAAGAAAACTTGACCATGATGAGATTCATTTCTAATACAACGAATATGTTAGCGCCATCCTATAAAAGGACCACTCTCTGCCAGCCGCTAAGCATTGAGATTGAAGATTTCGGGAAAGTCTTTACAGCCCCCAACATTTACCATTTTATTGCATTTTCATCCCTTCGTGAATCATTTCGAACCCTAATGGCCGTGTCTAGCTGCGCCAGGGTTTTTCCGTCCTTCGAATGCCGTTCAGATCCGGATTTCTCTCGTCCTGAGATCCCTTCCTATGGCGAAAAAAGCAATTTTTTTAGCGGGAAGGCAGCGGCGGCGGGGTACGGCCTTTCTTCTCTGATCTTCAGATTCCCGCCGAACTTCGTGCGACAGCTGAGCAACAAGGCTAGAAGGAACTGTAGCAACATCGGCGTCGCTCAAGTGGTGGCGGCTTCGTGGTCGAATAACCAGCAGACATCAGGACTCACGCCGGCGGCTAAGGCCGTCGATGCAGCCGCCTCTGCCGCCATGGCGCCAGTTGAGGTTGAAACCGGCGTCGAGGAGGTGGTCGCTGCGGTGAAGAACTCCTGTTGTAATGGCGAAAATGTACAGTTAGAGGACTCGCCTCATGTGAAATATGCTTCTTTTTTGAATTCTGATGGCAGCATCGCTATTCATGCCGGTACGCTATTAATATATGAATATATTATCTAAACTACTCGTTTATTCTGCCTTTTTAGAGATTTGACGTGCTTTATTTGATGTTTAATTTGTATATTAAGTATTAACATTTCTTCATGAGAAGATGAGTGTCTTAAGCGAATTATTAGAGGTTATATATTTATTAATATCATCTAATGGAAGGATATCAAGCGATGTTTCGCATATGTATTTAGCAAATGTGAGGAGGTGCTTAATGTGATGTTATTTTTGTTATAAGGTTTACAGAGGCAAATATATGACGCCAATGAATTATCACCTAGTTTATGAGCATGTTTATATTCCGAAGATTTGAAAGAACGCCTGTTAAAGGCACGAGTCATCTCTGAGCGATTTCTTTTTCTTTTTATTTTTCTGAGTGTTTATATAAATCTGTATGTGGAATCTTGTACTGTATGACAATGATTTGTTCTTTGCGCATCCTATCTCGTTATTTTTGTTTTGTCGTACTTTGAAAATTTATTACTGATATTTGCACAAGATTGCATTTCTGCATTATTATGTTTTGTGGAAATCTTATAAAATTTGTCCAGGTGAAAGATTGGGCCGCGGTATTGTTACTGATGCAATAACTACCCCGGTAGTTAACACGTCTGCTTATTTCTTCAAAAAAACTTCTGAGCTAATTGATTTCAAGGTATGCACTGATGTTTAATACGGTAATCAATGCTTCTGGAGAAATATGTTTTTTTAGTAAATAGAGAAGCTTATTGATTGGGAAGTGCCTGCCTAAGTTTATGTTTATAACAGGAAATGATTTATGGAACACTAACCGAAAAAATGAAATTAATGCCTCACACTCTTGAGGAGATATTCTGTACTAGCAGGTGGTTGGACCAAATTAAGTGACACGCTTTGATCTGTTGGCAGGAAAAAAGACGTGCAAGTTTCGAATATGGGCGCTATGGTAATCCTACTACTATTGTTGCGGAGGAGAAGATAAGGTCACTTCTGTTTCCCTGTACTTTTCTCTTTTAGCCTGCAATTTACAAGACAAATGGAGTAGATAACGTGAGGCCATAATATGTTTATTTTCTAACTGCAATAGTGCGCTTGAGGGAGCTGAATCGACACTGTTGATGGCATCTGGAATGTGTGCTAGCACTGTCATGTTGTTGGCACTGGTTCCTGCTGGTGGGCACATTGTGACAACCACTGACTGCTACAGGAAGACTAGGATATTTATTGAGACTATTCTGCCCAAAATGGGAATCACGGTATATTCTTGACCTAACCATTTGGACCATCATTCTTGTTCTGATTACAGTCATTCCAAAAATAAGGAATTTGGATCAATAGATACCAAGAAAAGCAAATCTATATTTTTCAATACCTATGCTAGATTCTTGAGCTGTATTGCCCATAAAACATACAATTATGACTCAATAACAAAGTAGTAAGCCCGATTCACATTATATTTGGAGTTGGCTAAATCTAACACTCTCTTTACTCCGTTCTAATTACTGCATTATCTACAAAAAGATCTAATAAAATCAAATTATCTGCTATTATATTATACTATGTCAGTTTTGGTCTACTTCACTCTCGCGATTGCATTGTTCTTTTGTGAATGTAACATTTTCCATGTTCGTGAATAATATGCCCCAAACGACCAAATCATTTTGGTGATATATAATTTTTATTCTACAAATAAAATCTAGTAATAAACAAGAGAAGTGGACAGAAAAAGTGGGTAGATTAGTATATTTCTGTTATGGTCCATATTCATTGTTTGTACACAATGCACTGTGAATATTGGCTTTGGAACATCAAAATCTTGATATTCTTCCTTTTTATTATTACTACATGCAGGCCACGGTCATTGACCCTGCAGATATTGGAGCTCTGGAGACTGCATTAGAGAAGAACAAAGTGAGTATTGAAGAATGTTGCCCAAATACATTTTCTTTCGTCTGGATTCAAGTGACTGGAAGAAAACATGAGAAATATTAAGCAAAAGTCAATTATCTTTCCATGCAGGTGACACTTTTCTTTACCGAGTCTCCAACCAATCCATTCCTGAGGTGCGTTGACATTGAGCGGGTTTCAAAGCTTTGTCATGAAAAAGGAGCTCTGGTGGTCATTGATGGGACATTTGCAACACCTCTCAACCAGAAGGCATTGGCCCTCGGTGCTGATATTGTTTTGCACTCTGCAACTAAATATATTGCGGGTCACAATGATGTATGTTGTTTCTGATGGATTCATTTGGGTTACACAAATTTCAAAAACTGTGATTGTTAATGTTGTGCAGATTTGATTTATACTCTACTACGTTTCCTTTGCAGGTTCTAGCTGGTAGCATCAGTGGTTCTGACAAGCTCATTTCAGTGGTTCGTAATTTGCATCATATACTGGGTGGTGCTCTCAATCCTGTGAGTAATCTTTGTTTGTAGATTCTCTTGGCAGTAATATTTATGTAATATTTCTTTGTATATCTTACAATCCTTATCTTTTGGAGACTTCTCTTCATTTATTTGTAACTTGAGTTTAGTTGGTAACAAAGAATGCTTACATTTTCTATTTTTCTTTTTCCCCCCTTAAAATCAGAATGCCGCATATCTGATCATTAGAGGCATGAAGACGCTGCATCTTCGTATACAGCAACAAAACTCTACAGCATTAAGGATGGCCGAGATTTTAGAGGCACATCCAAAGGTAGGTTGATGGGTTCAAATTATATACTTGCGTCTGGTAGTAGCTGAATTCAGTGAACTTGTTGAATGTGAATAATTTGATTATGTATGGTTGTTTGGGGTGGAATTTTCAATTACACGTTGGATTCACCAAACTATTCTTCAAGAGTGGTGATTAATTTACATTTCCGAACTGATCTGTTTAGACAATGAAAAGGAATACTGTACACAAATTTCGACTGGTTGGAAGAGATCACAGGAACAAATATAAGTTGAGCAAATAAATTATAGAAAAATGAAAACGGATGTTTCTGTTAGTCTCTTTTCACAAGCGTACTCTCGATGATATCCCCAACTCTTTTATTCATATTCTCTTTTTCACAAGCATGCTCTAATCCAATTGAAAGTCGCAATTTATACCACACTTTCTAGATCCTTTTCAACTGAACTTTTTGCATCCATCTTTCTACTGCTGAAGCTATATGCTAGTTATCATTAAAATTCAGACCCTCGTATCTGATGAGTGAAATTTTATTCTCTCATATTCTATGCCCCAGGTGATAACTAGCCCATTTTGCTAGGTTCACAGGTTAAAATCAACAAGTAGTCAACAATATTTTCTTTTTTCTCATACATATATAATGCGTTAGTCATATACACACCAACAATTCATAGTTTCACTCACTATATACATTGCTACTAAAATTCGTGTTTTACCGAGGTCTCAAATAAAGTGGCAAATGGAGCAAGTTTTTATACTGGATTAAGTATTATCTGGCATACATGAATTGCAGATTAGGCATGTCTATTATCCAGGCTTGACAAGTCATCCAGAACATTACATCGCAAAGAAGCAAATGAATGGTTTTGGTGGTGTGGTTAGCTTTGAGGTTAGTGTTAAATTACTGAACTGAATTCTAATATATGTTCTTGTTTTGAGTAACTTCTCTGAAACTTCATCGTTGTGAATTTTGATTAGGTTGACGGAGATCTCCTGAGAACTGCAAAATTTGTTGATGCACTGCAGATTCCGTACATAGCTCCATCCTTTGGAGGATGTGAAAGCATTGTTGATCAACCAGCAATCATGTCTTACTGGTATGTCCTTTTTCTGTTATGGAGCTGGGTAATTAATAGTTTGCATTTTGAAGTGTGATAAGCCAGTAGGATAGTTATTTCTAAACTGTCCCACCTGGCACGGATATTTCGTAACATATGTTTCATTAGAAAGGAATGGACATAGCACTGACTACTTATCCAGCATTTTGTTAGAGGATGACCTGAGCTGTCTTGTTCAGAACTGCAAAAAGGAGGATTTGGATACTATATGTATTTGGAGACGCATTTAATTAATGCAAGCCTCACACACTTCTTTCCACTCAAAAATCAGTCACTTGCATAATCATTTCTATAAAGCATTATTAATGAAATGTCTCGTCTAAGATGCTTCCTAGCATCAGGTTGTATGGTTTATTTATTTGATTTCCCCGATATGGAATGGTAGTGCACACACCACTGCCTTAGGTTCTGTTTGACATCTGTGCTCCAATTAACGGAATGTTCGGAAGCTGCTTTTTTTTCCCTCATTGGACGGTGTTGCGTATTAGAATTTAAAATTTCCATGTTAGGCCTTCACATCATCTTTTACACCCGACTACCATGAAAATGGTATCATTGAACATGTAAAAGTTGCTTATGTTTTTTTGTTTTGGATGTTTTATGATGATGCCAAGTGCTTGTCCCCAATTGTGTTGAACCAAGTTTTTAGCAGTAGAATCTCTCTCTTGCACTGTGTGCGCTCACCTAACTTGAAAGTGTACGTGACTCACATGTTCCGTGTGTTGTACATTTTCCCAAATCAGGGATCTTTCCCAGTCGGATAGAGCCAAGTATGGGATCATGGACAACTTGGTGCGCTTCAGTTTTGGAGTTGAAGACTTTGAAGACTTGAAGGCTGACATTCTTCAGGCTCTGGATATTATATAGGCTTTTTGACCTGCTGATTGTCTTCTATTTATTTACACTTTTCGAAAGGCACTCAATTCCAAATTTGTCGAGAGTAAGATTAAGTTTGACGTTGTATTTCGTCTTCAATTGTTGTTTGATACTCATTTACCATGATTCGATGATAGTCATTCATCATGGGATAATTATCTCGTTAATGGGTTTGGTAGCAATGTGTTTTACTTTTGAATTTTACTCATTTCCTTTAGCAATATACTACTTTCATTGCATAAAGAAAGATGGGCTTATTTTTATTTTCACACCGATTAAGAGAAAATATAATTAATATACTTGAAAGTATAATTTTTTATTATATTTTTCCTAGTATATTCCTACGTTAAATAATGATTTAAATAGAATTAGTTTATATTTATTGATAACAGTGTACAGTACATAAATGTATATTAGAAAATTAAAAAATATATATGTACTTTTAAATTTGTCTATAATTTAGGATAGATGAAAAAACAAATTAATTTGCCGGGTGGATGTAATATAATAGATGCATCATCCAGCAAATCCTGGATTTAAAAAAATAAACTTGAATATTCGTCAATTCGCACACGTGCATTGTGCACTAAGAATCACATTGTTCTTATGTAGGGATGACAAAAAAATTCGTTCAACCTGATACCTGTGGGTTCCCGCCCCGAATGGGGCGAGGATTATCCGCCTAATCGGGTAAACGGGGCGGGGACGGGGGCGAAGGTCATTACCCCGAAACGAGTATGGGGCGGGTACGGAAAACATAGTTCCTGCCCCGTTTAAAATTTATTTCAAATTTAAGTTTTTTATTGAACAAAAATAATAAATTTATCATCATTTTTAAAGAGAACATAAGTTGCTTTTAACAAATTAGTTAAAAAGTAATAATATTTACTAACTAAAAAATAAAAAAATAAAAGCAAAAATAAAAATAAATAATAAATAAAAAGAAAAAGTAAATGGGGCGATAAATGGGGCAATGGACTTGCTTCGCTCCACCCCAATTCCTCCCCGTCCCGCTTTAACAGGGTATGAGGATGGGGTAAGGTAACAAAAATCCCCTACGGGACGGGGGTGGGAATGGTCGTCCAGTCCCTTGCCATTCCTGAATCTCATGTGCTTTTAGAAGTGGGTTTTGTTAGAGTACTAGGGCCACATAGGCCTGTTACTCTACGGGGCGCATCCAAGGCTCACGTGACTCTAAACGAATAGAAAAACCCTTGAGAAGTAGCCTAAAGGTCATTTGACCCTTATGATATTTTTTTTTATAACCGTGGATGTCAGTGTCAGTTTGTGAGCATCTCGATTAATTCCACGGGACCCTGAAATTTACAGTCGGATACTCACTTCAATGGCATTGAGGGGACTTAAATTGGTCACCATTATGGAGCAAACTCAAGGTATGATCAACTGAGCAATCCTTCAAGATTACCATTAGGACATTGCCGGCCAATAAGATAAAAAGTACAAATAAAATTAAAATCAATAAATTTGGAAAGAATGCACCATTCATTTCCAATTATTATTGAGTAATAAATTATTGTCCAATTTGTTAAAAATAACATAATGCTATTCATTATTATTGAGTCAGTGTTAACAGGTTAATATCTTATGAATAATGTTATCTAGCACTAGTAGTGTTTAAACACCATTACATGTGACAATATGTGATAAATTCAATTAAAATGAAGTTATGTGATTCATTTAATGAAATCTATAATTTAATATCACTAGTGCTGTCCCCTAAATTAGTATATTAACATTACTCATATTTTATTAAGATTACACAATTTATTTGTTCTGTTGAGGATTGTCCAAAATCACATTAACTCATCACATAATGGGGTCCTCGTAAAAAAAAAAAAAAACAACAAATGTTTAATAACAAAATTTAGTTTCTCAAAAAGTTAAAACACATGATGGCAAAACTCATCTAACCCTAAATAAAATTTGTTAATGAGTGTTTTCAATAACAAACTACTTGTTCAAGATTTAGGTTCTCTCTTTTTTGGATGCACCAATTTTTCTAATTGCTTAAAACAATCAACAATTTCTGTTTGACTTGTGATATCGGTGCAAATCTGTATTTTGCATAGAAGTTATTCAAGTTTGAAAAATTGTACAAGTGCCTCTTCAGAGAAATTGAGGGAAGTTATGTATTTCCTTTTTCCAATAAAATCTTAGGCTCTGTTTGATACACCATATTTTTCATGGAAAACGGAAACTTTTGTAGTGTTTGATAGGCACGTTTTTTCTAACTTTCCAAAATTTTCATATTTTTGAGGAAAACAAATTCTTGATATTTTGGTTGGTAAATATTTTCCAGTTTTTTTTTTTTTTTTTGCAATTGAAAAAAATTCTAGACACGATAGTAAAAAAAATTATCACTTTTATTGACAATTTTCATACAAAACAAAGTTAAATGAATAGTATTCGGTGCAATTGGAACAAATTTTAGACCCAATGGTAGAAAAAAATTATTTTAATTGACAATTTTCATAAAAAAAAAGAAGCCAAACGGACACCAAACTTTCAACATTTTCCATGAAAAATTATATCAATCAAACACAATTAATTACAATTCCCAATAAAACAATTTCTAAGCAAATCAATTCCCTGTAAAATATTTTCTTTTCACCAAATTTTGACTTTGCAATCAAACGGACCCTTATTGATTTTAAACCCAGCATTTTATAGTTTCTTAAGGTTTGTACATGCATGAAATTATGTTAGAACCCTCTTTTGTTATGCCTTGCCCTTTGGATTCTAAAGACATTTCCTTATCCCTATCCCTACTATATAAAAAAGGCAACGAGGAGTGTAGATGCAATAGTGATCCAATCGTCTTCCATTTTTTTCTTCTCCCCACGTTTTTTTTAATTCTTTTGTTTTCCTTCCACATTAGAAAACGGTGCCGTTTACATACGTTCATAAAAGTTCTTTTTAAGTCTCAAAATTGTTGGAGGAGTGTGTTCACAAAATAAATTACTTGTTGAAGATTTGGGTTTTCCCTTTTTTGCTGCACTGTTTTTTCTTACTGCTTAAAACAATCTATTATTATTTATTTCTGTTGACTTGTGACTTTTGTGCAAATCTGTATTTTGGTGAGATGATCTATGATGATTTGTGATTTCTTCTCCTATGCAAAGGGGTGTCTCTGTACTGGGATATGGGTTTCTTCTTTCAGTTAGTCTAATAAAAGTTCCGTTTGATTGCAAATGTGAAATTTGGGTAAAAAGAAAATGAATTACAGGAAATTGAAATGGTTAGAATTTGTTTTACTGGAAATTGTAATTAATTGTGTTTGATTGATATATTTTTCTACCTAAAAAATATTGAAAGTTTGGTGTCCGTTTGACTTCGTTTTTCATGGAAATTATTCATTAAAGTGATAATTTATTTACCATTAAGTCTAGAATTTGTTCCAATTGCCAAAAATAAAAAAAATTACCATACAGAGTACTATTCATTTGACTTTTTTTTTTCATGAAAATTGTCAATTAAAGGGATATAATTTGTTACAATTGAGAATATAATTCATTCCAATTGCAAAAAAAAAAAAGGGTAGCCTGGAAAATGAGGTAAGGGTGGAAAATGAATTCCATAGAAAATTTAGCCTACCAAACAGTGGAAATGGAAAACGAATTCGACCTTCCCTAAAAAATTTTGTGCTATCAAACAGGTCTTATTGAACTTAAAAAAAATTTGGAAGCGTCTCTTTAGAGAAATTTATTCTTATAATGGGAACTTTGGATGTTGAAAGAAAAATGTCGATTATTCTGTGTTAAGGGTCAGTAGTAGCCTCTCTCTTTTTGAGTTCATCAAATCTTTTTTTTTTCCCAAGAAAATCTCATCGATTTCAAACCTAGCATTTTATAATTCTTTCCCTCGAACTGTAACTAAATGAAATTCTGCTAGAATCCCCATTTGTTCCCTTCGGATAATTGTTGAAATATATGGTTTATTCTCTCTTTGCAATAAAGAAACCAGGGAGATTACAATGAAATTGGTAGAATTTTTATTTTCAATATACGTTTCAAACCTATGCTTTTATACTCTATTTCAAGGAAGCATATGACTTGTTCATAATTTGTTAAACTCTCATACAATTCTCTACATGGGAATTTGAGCATCTTCCTCTTCGAGGAGATTTATTCCCACATACAATCGTGTTTACATGACACCTAGGCCATGCATAGACTTCAGATAAAACCCAAAAGCTTACATAGTTTATGGCATATTTATACATGACCTGTGATACTAAGGAGTCTAAATACAACATATTCTTACAAGAATTGAGTGCATGAGTAAATTTGCTAGTTCTTTCTGTTTGTGTACACTAAGTTCCCTTACATTTTATAGGGGTTATTTTATGAGGCTCAAAATTGAGGTTAAATTTACATGCAACTTATCCTCCAACTCTATAGTCAAATACATTTGTATTGTCAATTATTTGTCGTACTTGGTGGTGATTAAATTATGGCAAGACAATGCTGGCCTACATATGCACAACTTGATATTCTTTAGTGCATATTTGATGAAGGGAATAAAAGTCCAAGCAATGCAGGAATTGTACAAATAGTCTCTCGATTATCGTTACATAATCATATTTTTGAAACAAATGTTCGCGACTGGTTTAAGAATAGACGTGTTGAATTGCAAATGTGTAAACAAGCAGAGAATGTTCAACCTAAAATTCCATCCAGGATTTGAACAAATCTTATGTATAACATGCAACTTGATTGACGTGTACGAAGCTTCAGATTAAGAGGTCTATATTTATCAATAAATTTAGCTCAATTTACCGTTTTACACTTCAATTGTATTACTTTCGATGAGGCTATTTGTATTCGACTTTTTATGGGCTTCATTGTAGAGAATTTAAAGTTAATAATACGTATGTCTATTCGTAAATTATGTTTTCCCCATATTTATTTTACTTCCTTCATGGTGTTTATTATGCCTTGTCACATTTAGTTTTAAAAGCATGTTCATATATTTCTCCCCTATACTATCCTTTTCATATAATTTTATAGATCAATATTCTGCTCAAGAAAGTGCGATCACTGTGGAAGGAAAATTTTCATCAAATGTTTGTGAAGATGTCAATATGCATAAAAAGGTTATGGGTATGATTTTGTACAACGTTAGTTTTCTCACCTTCTAGTTCTGTTTGTGAAATATTGTTTTATGATCTATTGTACATTTGTCTTTTTTTTCCTTAATCTCGATGCATTTTATAAATTAAAACGAGTAGTGAATATTATTGCTTTTGTGTTCATTTTGTTAGGTATAGAAAAAAAAATTTCTTCTATTTATATTTATTAATTTTGTTCGTTACTTTATTTACTTTATCTTTCTTGGTAGTTCATGAAATTTATACAAGATTTGGTCAGTTATCACAGGAAAGACCTACATGTGGTTCTCAGCTTAGTTCAGTTTCATTCTAATTTTGTAATTCTATTATTTTCACACAGGTTTTCCTTTGTGTAGGATTTAGAAATAATATTTGTTGAATGTTTTTGTCACTCTTTCTCATACTCATGATGTTTACATCCTAAGATTTAAATAGTACAATTTCAACAGCTTACTGCAATTCTATTGGTGCTAGTCAAATTCAAATTACAAAGTATTTTTTCCCAAGATATCCTCAACTCCTTTGCTATTGTTATTTTCTGTTACACCAACATCTGTACTTTCTGTTGCAGCAGATATATCAATATTTGCTGGAGAAATATCTGCTCCAATACGCCCCCTCCGAAGGGAAAATCTTGCACATGAAGGTTGTCTCTAAACAATTGAAAGCGTACGGAAGCTTGAGGTTTTGTTAACAAATCGGCGAGCTGATCTCAAGTGGAGAGAAATGACACTCGTAATTTCTTTGCTAAGACTTGATCCCGTACATAATGAAAATCTATCTCAATGTGTTTTGTACGAGCATGGAACACCGAATTTGAGGAGAGACAGGTGGCTCCAATATTGTCACACCAAAAGTGTTCGACAATTAGCAATTGGAAGTCGAAGATCAATCAAAATTGATTGTAACCAATGGAGTTCAGCAGCTGTGTTAGATAGAGATTTGTACTTCGATTCTGTGCTACTCCTTGCTACAGTTTGTTGTTGTTTACAGCTCCATCTGATTAAATTTGCTCCATGAAAAATACAATGGGCCCCTACACTTCGTCTATCATCATTGTCACCAGCCCAATCTGCATCACTATACCCCTGAAGAGAGTGATTGGAGTTACTGGAGAATCTGAGACCATAGCCAATGGTGTGTTTTAAATATCGAAGGATACGCTTCACTGCCTGCCAATGAGTATCTTTCGATTGTTGCATGAACTTGCTAACATGATGTACTGCAAAGGCTATATCAGGTTTGGTAAAGCCCAAGTAATGAAGAGCTCCAACAGTGCTTCGGTATAGTTGTGGTTCATCAAAATCACAACCTTCAAACTTGGATAAACCACTACTAGTGCTCATTGGTGTGGAACATGGTTTAGCTTGATGCAAATTGACCCTTTTCAGTTGAGTCAAAAATAAGTCTCGATCATCAAATATAGCTTCCACACTAAGGAAAAAAGATAAATGGCCTAAATCTTTCACTGGAAAGTCACTTGCAAGTAGTCGAATCAGTTCTTGAATTTCACCTGAATGGGATCCAGTGATAATAATACCATCAACATAAATTAAAATATACAAAGAAAAGGTATTGCAATGAAGAGTGTATAGGGAATTGTCTGTTTTGGAGCCAATAAAACCAAGTTGTTGTAGTTTTTCGGTTAACCGAGAGAACCATGCTGGGGCGCCTGCCTTAGGCTGTACAAACTCTTTTTTAGTCGGCAGACATGCAATGGAAAATCAGGGTGGACATAACCTTGAGGCTGTTGCATATAAACTTCTTCTTGTAATAGTCTGTGTAAAAAGGCATTCTGAACATCAATCTGACAAATACTCCATCTGTGTGTGATAGCCAAAGATAGTAGAAGTCGGATTGTTCCTGGTTTGACCGCAGGCCTAAATGTTTCGATGAAGTCAATACCAAGCTACTGGTGGAAGCCCTTAGCCACAAGACGCGCTTTGAGCCTCCCTATACTTCCATCAGCATGTTTTTTGATGCGAAATACCCATTTGTTTCCAGCCAGGTTGCTATTTGGCTTAGGAGGTACAAGATCCCGTGTACCATTTTTTAACAGAGCATTGAATTCCACATCCATAGCCTCACGCCATTTTGGTTGTTTTGAGGCTTTAGTGAAGTTCGAAGGTTCTATAGGCTTAGAAATTGATTATACAAGTAAGCACTTTGGTAAGGGATATCGAACAAGGCCAACAAAAGATCTCTTTGGTTCGAGAGAATGTGTTTGAGACCGTGTGCTCATATGTGTCAGCTGATTTTGTGTAGTAGCGGGTTGGCATAAAATATCAGGAGCAACAATTGAATTTCGAATAACATTCCTTGTTGGTACGATGGCATCATCTAGAGAAACAACTTCGTTAGGAATGTCCGAGATTTGAGTAGAATTGGAATTATCATTGTCAGCTTGTGTTGGATTTGAAATACGGAGATGTGTACCTACACTGTTAGATGGGGTACGCAAGATATTTAAGAGTTAAAGGTAAAGTGCATAAGTTGGAGTGTAACATAGATTTGACTGTAGAGTCAGATAAGTAAGGAAAACATGACTCATTGATGATAACATGGCGTGAAACAAATATTGTACCTGTAGATAAATCCAAATATTTGTAGCCCTGGTGTGAGAGACTATAACCAATAAAAATGCAAGTTTTAGAGTGAAAATCAATTTTATGTTTGTTATTAGCTCTTAAGTTTGGCCAACAAGCACACCCAAACACGCGCATGAAACTATAATTTGGTTTTGTTTGTAGGCTATTTCAAAAGTGTTTTCTAGAATTTTTGTGGGTAAACGATTTATGATATAGGTTGATGTAAGAAAAGCGCCTTCCCAATAAGGGGTTGGAAGATTAGAATGTGCTATTAGAGCTAAGCCCATTTCTACAATTTGGCGATGACGTCGTTCAACTGAGCCCATTTGTTCATGTGTGTAAGGACATGCTAAATGACATTGAATTCCACATGTTTGAAAATATTTGTTTAAACGTCGAAATTCACTCCCCAATCAGTTTGAACGGATTTAATTTTGCTATCAAAATGACGTTCAACATATCTTTGAAATTGGATGAAAATTTGTTCAACGTCAGATTTTAATTTTAAAGGAAACAACCAAATAAACTTTGTAAAAGCATCTACAAAACAAACATAGTAACGTGAACCATAACTTGAAAGTACTGAAATTGGGCCCCATACATCAAAATAAATAAGTTCAAGAGGTCTTAAAACATGATGAGTAGATGTAGAAAAAGGTAAATTGTGGCTCTTAGCCATCTCACACTCAGGACAAACAAAGTGTCTATTATTTGATCCAATAGGTAATTTATTTGTAGCAAGCACATGTTGGACGGTAGTGTGGGAAGTATGTCTGAGACAGGGATGCCAGTCAGATACAGAGACACAAACACCAACAAAAGTAGAGGGACAATGCACTGAAGAGGCTTTGAGAAGCAATAAAGACCATCACTTGTGTGGCCTTTATGCAGGATGCTCCCCGAGTAATCTTTAATTAGAAAAAAAGAACTGTGAAACTCAAAATAAACATGATTATCTTGAGCAAATTTTTGGACAGAGATAAGATTTTTTTAAATTTTAGGAACAAGAAGAATGTGATTGAGAACAAGTGAAGAAGAAGGAAAAGATGCATTGCCAATACGTGTAATATCCAAACCTGTTCCATCACCAACTTGAATTTGATCATTCCCACCATACTCTTCTCCACGGATATTCAGGTTGTTGAAATTGTTTGTCAGGTGATGTGTTGCACCAGTGTCGGCATGCTACTCTTGTTGAGTTGATTGCTGGTGGGTTTGTTTTGAGGCAAAGTTGGCTTGAGGGTTCAGATGAGGTGGTGGTGGTAAGAAGTTTTGATCAAACCTTTTGAAGTAACGAGATGCAATGTGTCATGTCTTACCACAAAGTTGACACCATAGACTATTATTAGTAAAACCATTGGGATGAGATGGAGACTGAAAATTGCCTCGACTAGAACCACGAAAGTTGGAATATTGGTCACGCCCCCTGCCTTGAGGGTTGGAGAATTTGTCACGGCCACGACCTCCAGAGAAATTATATTGCCTTAATGCAACATTGGTGTGGCATTAGGTACGATAATTGCCTGATGGTTGTGTTGGATGCGAGCTTTACATGTGAGGAGCATAGAATATGCCTCTTCCAGAATAATAGAACCATCCATATGCGAAATAGTGGAATCAAGGAAATCGTACTCTGGACCTAAAATAACCAACAAGTATGTGATAATATCATCGCATTTCATCTCTTGGCCAGCGATTGCTAATTCATCAGTAAGCCACTTGATAAGCATGAAGTATTCACTTGCAGTTTGACCACCTTTGTGAACAGTGGCAAGTTGGGAGCAAACTTGCACAGCCTTTGAACGAGATTGAGATGCAGAAGCGGAATTGAGAGCAGTCCAAACTTCATTGGAGGTATTGCAGTGAACTACTTGGGCTAGTACTTCATCTGAGAGAGAAGAATTGAGACAACTTAGGATGAGATTATCCCGTGTATCCCAGATTTCATAAGTTGGGTTGGGAGTTTTACTACCATCAGCAATAGTAAGTTCTTTGGCAGGTTGCTTGATAGTGCCATTGACATATCCAAAAAATTTCTATCCTTTCAGGTAAGGTAACATGGTAGCTTTCCAAGCAGGAAAGTTGAGGCGAGTGAGTTTGGTGAGGTTTATATTTGTGGAGGGGTTAAAGATTGGGAGGTCAGTGGCAGCAGAGATATTAAAAAGTGATGAATCGGGAAAAGCAGACATGGTTACAGGAAAGGAGTTGTTTTAGACATTAATCAATTTGGCTCTGATACCATATTAAGAATTAGTGTTCCATCTTGAAAGGTCAACCTTTCTAAAAGGAGTAAGTCAATCCTTTATAAGTTGGTTTATGTTTACACCTTTATTCGATGTATTAAGAATTGAGGTTTCATCTTAAAATGTCAACCTTACTAAAAGAAGTAACCCAATTCTTTATAAGTTGGTTTATATTTACATCTTTATTCAATGTGGGATTTTATCCCTTAATATGCCTCAACAAGATGGTGGCTCGTTTGAGTAGACCAATCTTGAAATTCGTATGCTCACTTTTTGGAGTTTTAATCGGATCTAATTGCTCGTTAGAGATTAATTAGTTGTAGGATTTAGAAATAATATTTGTTGAATGTTTCTATCACTCGTTCTCATACTCATGATGTTTACATCCTAAGATTTAAATAGTATAATTTCAACAACTTACTGCTATTCTATTGGTGCTAGTTAAATTCAAATTACAAAGTATTTCATCCCAAGATATCCTCAACTCCTTTGTTGTTGTTATTTTCTGTTACACCAACATCTGCACTTTCTGTTGCAGCAGATATAGCAATATCTGCTGGAGAAATATCTGCTCCAATACTTTGTGTTAGGTATATGTTATTTTTTGTATACAATATTTTTCCCAGCATTCGAATTATTTACAAAATTAAATTCATTTCAAAGTGCTACTTCTCACCAACTTGCCATTGATATGTTGACGCGATGCTCATTGATTACAACTGTATTTCTCTTACTTTATTTATGAGGATTTTTTTCCTTATAATTTCTTTTTAAAATGCTTTTTCCTTTTTCCTTGTAGGTTATGTTAATGAACAACTTGAATTAGAGATTGATTTATTTGTTCATGAAAGCTACGTTATTGAAAACCTACATGAAAATAATGATATGCAATATGAATGTGTATCAGATATTCATGTTTATGTTGAATGTACCAAAAGAATTGATAGAAAAATATCCATGTTGAAACTTATGTCTTGCCATCTTATACAATTTGTAGACATTGTGGTGTAAAAAATTCTATAGAGAAATCAATGGCTTTTGTCGTTGTGACGGAAACGTCAAATTACAATTACATAATATGACTTATTTACTTATAAATCAGAAGAAACTGTGGCTTTTTAAAAAGTTGTTCGTACTTACAACACTCATTTTGCATTCACTTCACTTGGAGTTAAGTATGATAAAGAATTTTGTAAAAATAATAAATGTGTAGATACTTTCAGAGTTTAAGGACAAGTATACAATTTCATAAACCCACTTGTATTGATTGATAGGAATCCAATATATTTATAGTTATACTTCTATGATATTGAAAATGAAGTTTGTAATAGGCTCAACAATTTAGACAAATTTTCTGAATCAACTTTAAGAAAGTTGATAGATTTTTTTTCAAAAAATCCATATTGTAACTTTTTCCGATCATTAAGTGAACTTATTGATTTAGAATCATGTCATATTTTACTGAGGTGTGATCTATGTCTTGATCAAAGAATATATAACATGCCAACATCAGAACAGGTGGTTGTAGTTTGGGTTGATGAGGACCCATCTGCAGATATTCGAGCTTGATATCTATTAATTTATGGACATTCAGGTAATGCATATATATTACAATACTATTATAGTTATTATGATCCACTTCAATATTCATTACTTTTTTGTATGGAGAACTTAGATGACATGAAGGTATTGAGAAGGTAAATGTGAATGCTTCACAAGTTTGAATCCCTCAAAATTTAATAGAAGTTAAGAATGTCAATTCAATAGATCAACTTTTTGGAAATAGAAGATTATGGTAAACTTTACTAATGATAGCGATTTATTCTATAGTAAATAAATGTATTTATCTTGGAAATAGTTTTCCTCAATATTTTTCTTGTGTTTTATTTTTTGCATTTTTGACGGAGGGGAAGAAACGAATGACTGTATCGTGTCGTGAATGTTATTGTTACAAACTAAAAGTCAGGTTCGTAGACAATTTTGTGTTTTTACATACTGGCAGACTTTTACAACAATATGTAATATATATGTATGTTAAAATTGAAACAGTAAGATTGGACTATTTTCGCAATAATCAAAAGGTTAGAATAGAGGTTATAAAATTGGTAATCATTAGTTTTGCATGTTGAATTTACTGGGGGTCCTAGAGATATGACTAAAAGATATTTGGATGCAATGTCTTTAGTTCAGAGATATGGAAACTTGATGTTTTTTTAACAATGACATATAATCTCAATTGGCCTAAAATAAAACAAGAATTAAAACAGAATGATGAGATAAAAAATAGGCCAGATCTGCTAGTACAAATATTTCGTGCCAAGCAAAGTAGATTTGCTTAAGAGAGAATTCTTATAGCTACATATGTTTATGTGATTGAATTCCAGAAAATAGGATTACCTCATACTCATTTCTTTTTGATATTTAAACGAAGTTGTAAGATTAGCAACCGTGTACAAGTTGATGAAATTGTCTCATGTGAAATACTAGACTAAATAAATACCTCACCTACATGCTACTGTTGTGAAACATACATATGATGCATGGTCATTGTTGGCATTTGAATCCTAAAAATGTTTACATGGAGAATAATCATGTATGTAATAAAAACCCAAAAGAGTACATTCAACATACTTCATTAGGTAATGATTCTTACCCTCTTTATAATGGCGGTATAAATGTTAAAGTAAGAGGCTATATGTTAGATAATAGATGTGTTATACCATATAATCCTTACATTTTTGCAAAATATGATTCTCACATTAATGTAGAAGTACGCTCTTCTGTTAAAGCTGTCAAATATTTATGTAAGTATGTATATAGGGGATATGACCTTATTCATTTTACTGTGAATAAAGAAACAAATAAGCAATTTATTGCTGAGATTTCAAATTACAAAACAGCTAGATGGATATATGCACTTGAAGCTATGTGGAGGATTTTTAGTTTTGATTTAATTGACATGTCTCCGCAATAGTTTTTCTACAGTTACATATTGGGGATACTCGATTGGTTACATACAATGAGACAGATGATTTATCAAAAGTTATAAATAAAGATTTTATTCACCAAACAATGTTACTATTAAGAAATTTTACTTATAAAGTTTTCAAAAGGCAAAGACTTTACTGTACAAAGAATTTCCCACATATTTCGTATGAAATGCATCAATGCGAATTTGGAGTCCTTGAAAAAAGAAAGATGTTATTGGTAGAATAGTCACAGCTAATCTATTTGAGGGTGAAATGTATTTTTTACGAGTCTTACTAAATCATATTAAAAGGCCAAAATCTTTTGAAAATTTTAGAACAGTTAATGGTATTGTTCTGTTTACTTATCATGAAGCAGCATTTTTACATGGTCTTCTTATTAGAAATAACTATTCCGACATATGTTTAACTAAAGCGATTGCTTATCAAATGCCCGTATTGCTTTGACTTTTTCCCAATGTGTTGAATTTGTGTAGTCTTACAAATCCAAGAAGTTTGTGGGACAAATCTAATGGTTTTATGATAGAAGATTATTTACATAAAGATCTAACACAATATGATGTTGAGATGAAAGCGTTGCATTGTATAAATTCTTTCTTGGAAGCTGTTGGTAAAAATATAAATAATTTTTGCTTGGTAGATTTTAATGTGAACGATAATGATATGTTTGAAACCATGATTGCTGAATAAACTACCAATACTAAAGTTAGGTCAGACATACATTATACTACAAGTTTAAGTAAAAAACCAATAAAATGCTTATGATATTATTCTAGATTGTGTTTTACATGATAAGAACGTAATTTTTTTTTATTAATGGGTACTCGGAAAACATAGTTATACAAGGCATTAGTTGCTGTTGTACCATCTTGAAAACTTATTGCATTAGCGACGACATCATCAGGTGTAGCTACATCTTATTACCAGCTAATCGAAAGGTCATTCACGATTCAAAATTCCGTTTGATATAAGTTATGTTATGCTATTTTCAATAAGTAAACAATCTGCACTTTGTAAACTTTTAACAATGACTAAACTAATTTTATGGGATGAAGCACTAATTGTTCATAAATGTGCTTTTGAAACTTTAGATAAAGTGTTGAGAGACATTACTAAATGTCAATTACCATTTCGTGGAAAATTTATTGTGTGTGGATGAGATTTTCATCAAGTGTCACCACTAGTACAAAGAGGAACAAAAGATGATATAATGAAAGCAAGTTTAGTTTTTTCACATTATGGCATTCTTTTACACAACTGCATTAATTCAAAATATGAGAGCTAAATTATAACATTGATTCATTTCTCCTTTGAATATTTATTGACCATTGGAAATGGAATTGAGAAAGAACATTCATACCAAATGATTAAGCTTCTTCCAGATATCATTATCAATTTTGAAGATGAATTTAAATCAATGAAAGAATTGATTAACATTGTGTTTCCCAATTCCAGACGTATGGAGACAACTTAAATATTATGATGAATAGAATTATTTTAACTCCAAAAAATGAATATGTTGATTTAATAAACAATATATTACTTAAAGAAATTCCAGGAGAGAAATTTACATATTTTAGTTTTTATAAAGTCATTGATAAAAGTGAATGATTTATTTATGAAGATTTTTTAAGCAGTCTAACTCCCCAAATTGTATCTCTCCACATGAACTTGTACTGAAAAAACTATTGCCACTGAGAAATATTAATCCTTCCAAAAGTTTATGTAACGAGACTAGACTTATTTGTCGTGACTTTAAACGAAATGTTATTTTAGCTAAAATTGAAACAAGAGAATATTGTGGAAAACAAGTATTTTTATCTAGGATTCCATTCATTCCACTTGAAGGTGACAAATAGTCGGTACCATTTAAAAGAACTTGGTTTCCAATACGTCCTTATTTTGCAAGGACATTAACAAAGTTCAAGGTCAAAATCTAGATTTTGTTGGCTTATACCTTCCTGAACTTGTATTTTCACATGGTCAATTGTACATTGCATCGTCCCAGGCTAGAACAGGAGGAAATATAAATTTTTTTATTAAATCTGCTGTCAAAAATAAATCACATACTTGTTGCACCAAGATTAATGTTTATCATTAAGTATTGAATTTAATACGTAGTAATTAGCCACTTCTGTATGCTTATAACGTTTTGCAATGGGTTTGAATTTATGTTTCTTATCTTGTTTTCAATAAATACAAATGCATCTTATACAACATAGCTTCTCATAGATAGAATTATTCCATATTTTGAAAGATTCACCATTAAGTTACTAAATGAAAGTTTTAAGCATAAGAAAGTTATAGAAGAATCTCGCGTTTAGTACAATTTTTGATTATTAATAAAAATTCTGCAATTCACTGTATCTCTTCTAAAAAATTTCAAGATACAAACTGTTTTTCAAGTTATTTGTTCAAAATATCTATCATTTTCATGAAATGCATGGTGCAAAAGTATAAAATAAGGTAAATTACATTTAATGATTATCTATTGCAAAGACACAATATATCCTATATTGCAAGTCTGAGTATGAAAATGGCAGATGGTCCAATGATGAAAAACAAGGTTAGGTCTGCATCATTATGCTCATGATTGCCAAGGATTATGGTACTGGGTATGTTTAAGTTATTCCAATCTTGTAGATATTTCTTTTCAACATGGGAGATGAAACATATTAACTTGCTTGTATTTGATAAAAGAAAATAAATGTTGCAATCTACAA